TTCTAAGTTCCATATCAGCGATGTATATTGTTGATATCTTCTCCCAGGACGAAGCTTGAATTCTCATCTTCTTAAGTGGTCTCTTCTGAAGAACCAACAATTTTATTTTTAGTAAATCCCCTTACCAATTTTATTCTTTCAAGATCATTATTTTGTGCAGCCTGCAAAACAACTGCCTGTCCCAGGGTTTTGTCTAGATAAGAGTTGCCGGAAGTGTGAGTCATATGTATCAGCTTAGATTTTCCAGTAGCCACAGAAAAATAGTACAAACAGCTTCCTTCAGCAAACTTAAGTCATGATGCTTTAGTCAAACTAATATATCTAGAACATTATCATTTCAACATGTAGTCAGCACAAAATTATTCTTAGCATGTATTATGTGTTTGTTGTATGTAGTAGGACACACAGTACCACAACATGTGTGTGGAGGTCAGAGAACTATTTTGTGGAGGCAGTTCCTCCAGGAGTGGCATTGTGGCTCATTAAGTGTGCTTGTCAAAAGCCTTTATTTGCTGAGCCATCTTGCCAGTCATGTTATGAAATTATTAATGAGACATTTATATTGTTTTTAATCCGGAGTACTTGAAAACAGAAGTGTAATTTTCACAGATTAGTTAGTTCATCTCAGTTTGGACTAGCCACATTAAAGTGCTAAATGGACTAGCCACCTATTACAACAAATAAAACAGTTTTGGAAATTGTATATTGCCAGTGTTTTATGTTGATCTGTGATCTAGTTTGATTTTATTTTCTTGTTTTAAATGCAAGTAGAGGGTTTTGTTTTCCCCATGTAAACAACCAGTACCCATACCATTATTTCTTTTCCTGATTGATTATACTTTCTGCCAAAAAATCAACAGGTCTTAAGCTGAGAGTGATGGTCAGCATCTCAGCACTTGTGGGGTACAGGCAAGAGGAGTAAGAGCTCAGGATCATTCTCCAATACATAGCAAGCTCAAGGCTAGCTGTCATAGACCGCGTAAGAGCCTGTCTCAGACAAAACAGATACAGGTCTGTGTCTGGACTCAGTATTCTGCCCCAGTTTTTCCCTGATGCTAGTCCCTTCCAGGCTCAGTTTTCATAGTTTTACAGTCTTAACACCAGATGGCGTCAGCCTTCCAGTTATCTCGTCGTCTTCCTTTTTCAGTTTCCTTCTGTCTTCTTCCCTTGCTTCTCATCTTCCCTCTCTACTTCCCTCTTCCCCCTCTTCCTCCTTTCCTTAAGAAAAACCCAGACCTACATTTTAAGGTTGTGTTTTCTTCTCTGTGTTCTTTTCTTTCCATGTAAAGTTATAATCAGTCCATCAGATTTCTACAACAAATTAGATATGATTTTTTTTTTTACCAGCACAAAGGATTAAAAGGTAACACCTTCCCCAACACATGCACATTTATGCCCTAATCCCTGGACCTGTGGTTTTTTACTTTATTTGATTTATATATTTAAAGTGGGAGGGGAGCTTTTCATTCTAAATTAAGGATTTATATACCGAAAGGACCAGGAAATCCACAGGTCTAGTTTTGAGGCAATGCCATATAAAAAACATTACATACTATACTTGTATTGAAGTAATTAAGGTAGATCCTAAATATGACACAATGACAAGTGTCCTTAAAAGATAGAGTAGAGAAACCAGCCAAGAAGACAACTTAGAGATGGAGGCAGAGATGGGGACATTGTGGCTACCCAAACCCATTGGAAGCAAGGAAGGATTCTCCTCAAAGACCACTAGAGGGTGCACGTGATCTTTGCTGATACTTTTTATTTCAGACTTCTTGCTCCTAGAATTGTGAGAAAATGAGTTTCTTGTTTTGAACCAGCCATTTGTGGTAATTTATTGTGACAGCTATAGGAAATGAGCCCACCCATTAGCAGGCCAAGGAAGGTCCCCTATAGCTCAACTTTTTGTTTTCAAGAACGAATGTCAGATTTTGCTCAATGTCTTTTCTACATGACTGAAAAATGATACTGTCGCCTATTATTTGACTATTGTGTTCATATTTTGTATCAACTGTCTGTTCACATGGTGTAAATATTAGAACTGTCATAGCTGCTACCCCCAGTAAAACATAGTCCCTGATAGTGAAGGGCTCTGACACATTTCATTGTCGTGTAAAGTTCAACATCAATCTTGCTTTTTGTTTGTAACGAAAAACATTCTTTTTCCTGCTAGTTTCTCATGTAGTCCAGTTTGGTCTTGAACTCACTATGTAGCCAAGGGAGACCTTGAATGCTTTGAATACCTAATCTTCTTGCTTCTGCCTCCTAAACACTGGGGTCATAGAGTCACCACGCCTGACTGATAAAGACATTTTTAAAAAGTTAGTGAAGAGTCTGTGGAATGAAACCATGCTTGGAAGTACTTAAAAAAAAAAAAGAATAATTACAGAGTTCCTGACTGCCGCCGAAGGGACTTCAGTGGAGACCCTCTGGCTCGGTTTCACCATGAGAGACATTTTTGACGTTTGTGGTGTTTCAAAAATGAGAGGGTTTCATGAAAAAATATATCACGTGTCATTCTTTAAAGGAATACACATTGGATGGTACTGCTGAGTTGCTGTAAGCAGCCATGACGCAGCACAGCACGAGCGGTATAGCCCCCCCCCCCGACGTTAGTGTAGAGCCGTCATTCCTCACTGGTTTGGACCTCGTGGAGATTTATTTAAGGCCTCTGTCCTAAAACCTTTTGGGGATTGTGTTTCCGAGGAAAAGCTTAGATGTCACAGCTACCAGGGAAACCATTCATATTCAAAAAAGCACACTGAAAAATAACATGTAGAAAAAAATGGTTTCATATGATTTATTATCAATGAAAGATTCCTGTATGAGCATATTTCAGGAAAGCAGGATAAAGTCCAAATTAGACCACCCAAGGGAAAGAAAATAGCAGATAAAATAACCAAGGAAAGAAAAAATTCTGCTGTCCCCCCTCCTTGCGCCCCCCTCCTTTTCCAAACAGGGTCTTACTACTTAGTGCAGGCTGTCTTTGAACTTTTCCATCTTCTGTTTTGGCCTTTTGGGGAATGCCAGGATTACAGATACACTTTACCTGCAGCAGTTTTATGATGCCCAATTTATTAAAGTCTCATATGTCCACAGTATGCCTATATCCACCCTGTCTTCCCACCCCTTTGAGACATGTTGGAAAAAAATCATACTGAATCCTGAGAATTCACAAAAATCTTCCACGTTGGAAAGCAGTCAGTAGCATCCTTGTGAAGTGTCCAGGAAACTGAACACTTAATACTGCTATTCAGCTCGCCTCCTGGGGTGCTGTATTCTACTGAAAACCCCAGCTGGAGTTCATGGGAAGGGGCTGTTGCTAACGAGGAGGGGTCTGGTGAAGCGCTGTAGGATTCACCAGTGAGGGCTGAGCTGCCCAGGCAAGCTGTATTTCCCGTCGTAGCTGTTTTCACGTGCTGTTTTCCTCTTACCCGTCCTTGCCTTAAAGCCTAAAGAATTCACAGGAGAAATAGTCCGCAAAAACAACACTCAGTCCTAAAACCGAAGCTGATTCAGATATAGCATGAACGGAATATTAAACTCATTAAAAGAATGTAACTCAAAAACTAAAGGTCATGATATATATGGGATGGGGGGGGGGAGAGTAGGCCGTTTGGTCCTTGATAAATAATTCTTCAGGCATTCAAGCAGAAAAACCGAGTGACCTCTGAGGAACACTTAAACAGGATTCAGGCTTTTTGCTCGGAGATCTTTCATCAGTAAGGCAGCCGTGCACAAAGTTTCAAGCATATAACATCAGCCTTTAGGAGGTGGAGGCAAGGGGACCAGGAGTTCAAGGCCAGCCTGGACTACGTGAGAACCCCCGCTTAAAAAAATCGGTAAAGAAATTGCTTTCGTGTTCTATGAGATTTTATAAGTTGTGAAATCAAAATACCTGTGTTTTTTTTAAATCGACATATAAAGAGAAAAACATTATTCTCTGATGTGTAAGTCACTTACTTAAGAAAATGGCCTAAGGAAAAAGATAGCCCGCGGTCTTCACTAGATAAATGTAATCAAGGAAAGGCTGGCAGCGACCATTGAGTTCATTTAAACCTAGAGTTAAGACCGCACATTTAGTTGCTAATGAGCCCAAAGCAATATAAATGGCAGTGGGAAATGAGTCTGGGGTGAGGTGGGAGAAAGTGATTAACCGCCTCTCTCACTTAGGAGCCGGTGAAACAAACAGTCGGAAACGGCTCGTCTTCCTTACTTTCTCCACTTAACGTTCACGGACCTCGATTAAGTATATACGCCATACAAGGGCGAAAGCAAATGCTGAGGATTCGCTTCGGGCTCGTTTTAATCTCAAATAACATAAGATGTTTTAAATGTCTTTAAAACGTGAACAATGCAAGCCTACTGTCACAAAAAAAATTGCTTCCGATCTGTCTTGTGTGTGTGTGTGTGTGTGTGTGTTTTGCTTGTCAGCAGGGAGAATGTGGTTTCTAGAAGGATTGCCATGGGACTTGGGGTATTAACCCTCAAAGCTGTTAGAACCCTGTGTGGCCCACATCAACGGAGGTGGCCCTGATCACGCAGGCACTAATTTTCTTCAGCCTCTGGCTGCAAGCTCCAGCCCACGATACTGAACATATTCCTCCCCCCCCCCCGTCCCCCCCCAGTTTCTGGTCTGCAATGTGGCCGAGGGTGGATCATCCCGGTGGGGACAGGCGCAATCAACCCTCATCACGGTTCTTTGGGCTGAGGCGAGGCTACCTGCGCCAACGCGGCACCTGGGAGACCTTGGCTTTGCGCACACAGCCGATGAGTCACCGAGGCGGGCTGCGTGGCTGTCCTCCCCCCGCGGACCCCCAGCCTTCTCCTCCCACGTGATACCCGGGGGCCCAGCTCCTCTCTCGGCCCCGCCCGCAGCCTCGTCCGTGCTGCCATCTCTTTGGCTGGCTTGTTGCGCGGCAAAGCCCACGGCATCTGCCATTTGTCACTCAGCTGGGGCTGGGACCGCCCCGAGCCTTGATTAAGGCGCTGCTGGGGCGTTCTCCAGCCTCACTCGCCTTGCAGGCGGGAGAACGCTCGAAGAGGCTCGGCCGCGGGCATCGGGCTCGCGGCACGGATCGGGGAGCAGAGAGCGGCCACCTTCGGGTCGGGTCGCCGTCATGGCCGAGTAGGCTGCGCGCGGGAGCGGCCTCCCCTGAGTCCGGCTGGGGTAGGTAGGTAAGTGACGATCCGGGTGCTTCGGGACGTGTCGCGGCAATGCCGCGGGGAGGGTTGCCGCGCTCTGCGTGGACCTCAGGATCTGGGTCCTTCGGGCACCGAGGTGACAAACTCTGACCATGGGTTTCCCAGTTGCGGCCAGGGATGCCGCAAAAGGGTTCGGGTCTCTTGGATCGCCACGGGTGTCGCGGCGCGCTTGCTTGCTCGCACCCGTCACTGGGTGGTATGCGACACTTAGCCTCGGTCCTTAAGACCTGGCAACACTCTGAACTCGACAAAAGGCTAAAAAGAAAGTCGGAGAGAAGTGATGTGCGTCCATTTGTGGTAACGCAGTTAATTTTGGTGCTTTAACGATAAATGAACATTCTCGCCTGTGCTCTTAAAGCTATTTGAAAGCATCCTAAAAAAATTACTGGGAGAATCCAAAGCGCAACTTGTGTCCTTTTCTCCAGTCCCCGTATCAACTTTGAGGACGCTAAAAAGGGTTTCCCGCTTTATACCGAAAAGGGGTCCGCAAATGTTGGGAATTCCCCCATAACAAATGTGCTACTTTGATGCTTTAGGAATCGAGTAAAAATTAAAAATAGCAATGTCCCAGCTTAGATCCTTCCAGGGATCTTTCTCTAGCCCCACCCTCCAGGGCAGCTTCTGAGGCCCCCCTCCTGTTTGCTCTCTGGGGCCTCGGCGAGGTTCTGCTCCCCAAAGTGTGCCCCCCCAATCTTTCCTTTTCCCTCTGCGTGTAAACCCATCGGTCTGGGCTTGGCGTCTCTGGCTGCTTATTTAGTACATGGCAAGAGATTAATACTTTGGTGACGTATGAAAAGATGAAATCTGTTGATTCGCGGTTTTTGCTCTAAAAACAGTGGGAAACTTACATATTTTTAAAGGAGAACGTTCCTTTAAGTCAAGAATCAGAGCTGATGACATTTGACATCTGCATTTCCCCCGACCCCACGGTCCGGTGCCCCTCTACATGCCCGCCCTTTACAGAGCAGCGTTGTTCCAAACACGAAGCTCTTATTTGTGAGTTGTGAAGCCATTTAAGTAGAGTGTGATTAAAAAAAGAAAGAAAGAAAAGAAAATCACAAACGGAGAAAATGTCACAGGGTCTTTGTTGTATGACCCCCCCCTTAGTTTTATATACACATATGTGTGTAATGTTCTAAAATGCCATTTCTTACTATGAGTCATGGTCAAAAAAGTTTAAAAGCCACTGCCCTGGATAAATTTTCATATATACAAGAATGCTTACTCTGTAGTACCGCAGAGCTGGACAACGCCTTCATGTCCGTCTGACAGGGAAACATAAATTATGTACCAGTCATAAAATGGAACACGGTACAGGAGCGAATGATGCAGTTTTGTGTTTCCACACAGACGCCTCAGTGTTGAGGAGAAGAAAAAAATAAAAACAAGTTACTGAATATTGCATGATTTCATCTATGTGAAATTCAGAACCTGGCAAGCAAAGCTATTGTTTAGGGAAGCATGGCAATATTAGAAATCATAAAGGAAAAATGTAAATGAATGCTATGAGCGCCGTTAATGGTCACCTCCCTGGAGGAGGAGGGGGCAGTGGGTATGAGGGAACATTAGGGGCGCCTGTGAAGCTGGAAAATGCCTCATCCCCTGGCCGGTGAGCAGTGTCCTCAGCCAGGTCTCAGGATTAATTACTATTAAATGATACACAGAGGTCTAGATGTTAACTCCCCAACCAATTACATATTAAACAAGATGAAGAAGCCTGGATCCAGGGCTTGGAATCTCATATTTTCCACTGCGTCATAAAGAGTCTTGATCAGGGAGAGTTACCTAGGAAACGTAACAGCATTAACATTGTATCTCATAATTTCTTTGGTGGGCACAATGCTGTTCATTAAATCCATCATATGTTTCTGTGCCTTAAAATATTTAATATACTTTTAAAAGTACTTAAAAGAAAATTGAAACCATTTAATGCCCTCTTTCTAAAAGTAACTTTGGTGTTACTTGGAAATTATATTTTATTAAGCAATTTAAGCTCAAAGGAGGTTTTTGTTATGAGAAACGTAAATACTAAACAGGTAACAAAGCAGAAAGTCTTTGTAACCTTCACTCTGGGCTTCAAGATGCTGGCATGTTATGGTATTTATTTCAATTTCATTTATTCAGTGGCTCCAGGCCACATTTCCAGTGCTCAACCTCCACACGTAACTTTACATTTTATTATGTTACATATTCCTCCTACACTACAAACCAGGGCATTTCCAACATTGCCCACATTTCTCTTGGGAAACATTTGTTCTGGATACAGGTCATGGTTGGAGAAACTTTGGGATAATAAACAGATATTCATCTTTGTGACGTGTGTCTTGATTTACAAAAAACAAACAAACAAACAAAAAAACTCGGTTGTTAATGAAATTGGTTCCACAGTGATTTCTGAAGTGTTTGCAGTTTGTATTTTGTCCACAGTAACAGAGCTCATGTACGTGTGGGTGTAGATGCTTATGTTTTCTTTATGTGGTGAAGATAACATAAGATTAACTGCAGGATTTTTGTTGTTGTTGTTTTGTTTTGTTTTTCACCTGGGAAGGCAATTGTCCCTGTGCCAGGGGCTTGGTGCATCCTGTTGGCCATGGGCGATGCTCAGATTAGTCTGGGCTTGCTTCTGGGCTCTGTACCCATTTGTTATGTGAAGACATTATAGGTTTTAATGCATGGTTGCTTTATGTGTGGTATGTGGCTCTGTTTTAAGAATTAGACAGGTTTTCATTATGATATTTTATTTTTTCTTTCACTGTGAGAGTCTTGAGATGTTCTCTAGCTCCAATGCAGACGGCTTGGGATGTTTCCCTCTTGTTACTGATTGCTAATTTGCACCACAGTCAGCACAAGTGTCAATGCCACTGATTTGCTTACTGTTGAGGGTTGCTTTATGGTCTTAATTGCTCCTTGTGTGATCACAAAGAATGTGTAATCAAAGGCTTTCTGGACAAGGTAATGTATGTATTGTGTGCACATGTATTTGACACTTTCACCTAGGGTTTCCTTTTCAAGCCTGGGAAGTTTTCATCCTTGATTTCATTCTCCCTCACACACCTACTTTTTTCCTGTTCTTTAGGAACCACGATTAGACGTATTAAACTTCTTCACAGGTTTTTAATGTGGCTTTTATGTTTTTAATCCATGTTGAATTCCAGATATTATTCATTGAGATCAATATTCTAGTTATCCAATTTGCCCTTTTCTCCAAATTGAGCTACAACTTACTTGCAAATACTAAGTTTGGAAAAGGCAAAGATAAAGGGCGTGGCCTGTTGAAGTGTACTAATGTATATATGCCTGTGCCACTCTCCAGATGAGGTCATAAACCCTTTTCATCCCTGCTTCTAGGAGCGCTGCCTTCCCCCACCCTAATGTCTTGATTTCAGTCACCAGCAACTTCAAAATAAAGCACACTTTTTTTTTTTTTGGCTTACATTGTGTTCTTGAGAGCCATTTATACTGCATTTTAAGTTTTTGTTTCTTTTTCCTTTATATGTGGCACTGACAAACTGTGACCTATTAGCCAATTCCAGCCCGTTACATATTTTCATATAGCAACTTTTATTGGAACATGGCCAGAGCCCATTTCTGTGTTTATTACTGTGGGACTATCTGACCCACGAAGCCTAAGGTATTTACTTTCTGACTATTAACAGGAAGTTTATTTGTCCCACTTCAACAGTATTCATTACAAACACTTTAGCCATTTTATTTCTTGTGAACATTTGAGTTGTTTTCAGAATTGGACCCTTACAAGTTGAATTGCTACAATGTTCTCTCTTTCTCTTGAATTTACTGTTTCAATTATGCATATGTATGTGTGTGTGTGTTTGCATGGGTTCCACACAGGTAAGTGCAGGTACCCGAAGAAGCTGGAGACGCTGGGATCCCCTGGAGCTGGAGTTCCAGTAGGTACTGGGAACTGAACTTGAGGTGGGGGCGGGGGCCGGGGGGATTGTGCAAAAGCAGTACTTGCTCTTAACTGCTGAGGCGTATCTCCAGCCCCAAATGTTCTTGAAACTCATTGGTGGAGATATGTCTCTTGGGTACAGATTGAATGTCCCTCATCTTAAAACCCCATCTTTCTGACTTGTTCAATCTGCAGAGCTTTTGAGTACCAATATGCCACAAGTGGGAAATTCCACACCTGGCCTCACACGAGAAGTCTCAGTCAAGTGCAAAATGAATAAAAATAGAGTATTAAATTGCCTTCAGGCGATATGTATGAAGCACATATGACACCTAACTGAAGGGGGCTGTGTAACTCAGGTACATGCACACCCAGCACCCCCCCCCTCAGTCTCAGGATTCAATACCCAGCTCTATAAATAAATAAGTAAATAAACAAAGTAAGTGCATATTATGTGTAGGCTTGGGTCCCACTCCAAAAATATCTTATGTATATTAAGTTTTTTTAAAGCCTCAAATGATAAGGGACATGCAATCTGTATAGCCCAAGTCGTTGAATTTATGACCTTTGTGCAGGTTTGTTACATTTCCACAAGTATTTATAATGAGTAGCATTTACATTGTTTTTGAGTCGGGGTCTTACTATGTAGCCCTCACTAGCCTGGAATTTAGGATGTAATTCAGGCTGGCCTTAAACTCCCATCTCTGCCTCTGGGTGCTATGACATCACAATTTCTTTATGAAGAACTGCCTGTTTAACTATTTTGCAAATTTGAAATTTGTGTTCATTTTAATTCCTAATATATTATGGGAGGGAGACTTACCAGATACATGCTTACAATTATCATTTGTTGAGACAAGGTCTCACTGTGTAGCTCCGGGTTGCCTCAGTCTCCCTGTGTGTATATCAGGCTGGCCTTGAACTCATTGAACTCTGTCTACCTCTGACTCCTGAGTACTAAGATTAAAGGCCTGTACCTTTGCTGGCTTACAAATATATTTTTTCCTCTGGAATTTAGCTTTCCAGTTGCCTAATCCTCCAAGCCCACCACACCCTTTTGTGT